TTTAGAAGATACTAGTAATATAGAAATACCTAGCTTAAAAGATAACTTTACTAGTATCTATAAGGCTAATCCTTCTAATCTTAAGAATATAACTATTAGTAGTAACTCTAGCTCTAGTACTAATATATCTAGTCCTAAAATTAAAAAAGAAAGCCTTAGAAAAAGAGCTAGAGGTAGACCTAAAAAGGTTAAAACTAAAGGAAGACCTAAAAAGAGTATACTTATAAAGATTAGAAGTTAAATAGATAGCTTTCTTATATTATATCTATCCTTATCTTTTTAGTACTAGTATATTAACTATAAGGTTTTTATAGCTTTATAGAGATAGTATAGTACTAGAACTAGTTTAGCTAAGTCTAAATAAGTATAATACTAAACTTCTATATTACTTTATCTTTACTAGTAGATATATTCTTATTTTTTTCTAGCTATATTAATTTTATACTAGCTTTCTAGTAGGTATATAAAGTTCTCTATAGCTAATAGGTAGTTATTAAAGGTTTATAATAGTTTAGATAAGTCTACTTTTAAAGTTAGTCTTAGTACTAGCTTAGTAAATATTATACTCTTATTTTTTTCTAGCTATCTAGATTTCTTATAGACTATCTAAAGCTAGGAGTTAAATCTATAAAGCTACTAGATAACTAGAAAAGGTCTAGTATACTTTAGATAAGCCTAAATCTCTAGTTACTTAAGATCTAGCTTTTACTAGTAATAGTATATCTATTTTTATCTAGCTATCTAGATTTTATACTATCTATATAAGATATGCCTAAGATTATATATAAGTAGAAAAACACTAGATAAGGTCTAGACTAGTCTATTTAAGTCTTATACTAAGATAACTAAAAGTTTAAAAGTTACTACTATGTATATCCTTATTTATATTTAGCTATTCTTATTTTATAGTATCTATCTAAAGTATAATAAGACTTAGTAAAGCCTTTCTAGTACTAAGAAAGATTTAGACTAGTCTAGAAAAGTATAGATATATAGTTAGTCCTAGTTTTAGCTTTACTAGTAAAAGTAACCTTATTTATTTCTAGCTATCTAGATTTTATACTAACTATCTAAACTAGAGATAAGTATCTATATAGCTCTAAAATAACTAGAAAAGGTCTAGACTAGTCTAGATAAGTCTAGATCTAAAGTTACTTAAGACTTTACTTTTAGTAGTAAAGATATTTCTATTTCTTTTTAGCTATCTAGAACTCTTACTAGCTCTATAGGTTATAATCTAGGTTTCTTTTAACTTACTAGATACTAGCAAAGGTCTAGCTAAGTATTAGCTAGAGTTTTAAGCTTAGACTTCTAAGTAATACTAAGAATATAAACTTAATAGAATTTTTTCTTTCTATCTAGATTTTTCTTCTAAAATCTAAGTAAGTAGGGTAGTAGGAAACTAAGCTAAGAATACTATAAAAGGTCTAGATCTAAGTAAAAAGTCTAGATCTAGAGATAAACTAAAGAAGTATATGATACTAAGCTTATTTTAGCTTTTTAATACTTTTATAGTAATCTTATACTACTAGAGTGTCTATACTAGGTAAGAACTAAGTACTAGAGACTTTAACTAGCTAAAAAAATAAAAAATAGAATTTTAGACCTTAGACTTAAACTTCCATTTAGTCGTTAATTAGGGACCCAGGGGCCCACTAGCCCTATCTACGGAGACGAACACACACCACCGCCACCAGATGTTGCAGACATACCTATAGGCCTAGGCCGAGACCGGTATAACACCTACCAGCCCCGAAACAAGTACCTATAGCAGCTATTCGGATACAACCACGTACAGGCAAAGGACCACACCTTTCGTGGTAGCCAAGCCGCTAGCTTTGTGGCCGCCGCGGCTAGGTGTGCCTCCAGATACACACGCCAACCTACCGAGAAACACCTACTAGACTTCCTACTACTCCTAAAGGCTGGCCTTACCCTAGGCATCCAATCAGAGGAGTTTAGCACCCAATACGTCCTATAGCACTACCTGGACCTAATGCTACCTCCGCCAAACCGCGTAGAAACCGATAGGGCCCAGGAGTTTCTAGGCCAGCCAGACAACCGCCGGGATACCCCCTACTCTAGGGCCTAAAGACTGGTAGAAAAGGGCTACCTAGGCAGAGCGGCAAGGGCACTAGTAGACCCCTTAACTCTAGCTAGGAACTCGGCAGATATACTAGCTAAACTAAGGGAAAAACACCCGGAGGGGCAGTCCTACCCCTTTGCCTCCTCGGCAAGCCCTAGGCCGGGCCCTAGACCACTTCCGGAAGACATCCTATAAGCCCTAGCCTCGTTTGCCCTAGATACAGCCCCTGGCCTATCCGGCTAGTTAGTCCCCTTACTAAGGGAAGCCTATAAGCACAAACAGGTGATAGACTTTCTTACCCACCTCTATAAGCAGGTACAAAACGGCCTAGCACCAGGAAACCAGCTACTTACCGCATCGAGACTTGTGGCTCTAGATAAAGAAGACAACAGGGTCCGGCCAATTGCGGTAGGAGAGCTTATCTATAGGCTAGTAGCTAAGGTCCTACTCTAAAAACAGTTCTCTAAGGACCAACTAGCCCCCTTCCAGCTTGGGGTATAGAGCCCTAGCGGGGTGGAGCCAATCATACACCTACTAGGACACGCGGTAGATAGAAACCTTAGTGGATACACCCACGTCTGCTCTATGGACTTTAAAAACGCCTTCAACTCAGTCTCCCGAGCAGCGGTAGCCCACGGGATCCTAAGCTATGCCCCAGAGTTTTACAAGGCAGCTAGATGGGCCTACAACGAGCCAGCAGCCCTAGTAATGTATGACGGCACGGTAATTACCTCCTCGGAAGGGGTTAGATAAGGAGACCCCCTTGGCCCCCTCTTCTTCTCCCTAGCCATTCGGACTACCCTCTAATAGCTACAACAACAGCTATAGAGGGCAACTAGCTATAACAGACCCCCTCCTATTGTCCTAGCATACCTAGACGACGTCTACATCATCTTAGGGCAACAGATCACCCTATAACAACTAGAAGGCTACCTAGAAGACGCCCCTATTGCCCTAAACATAGATAAGACAAAGACACACCCCTATCGGCAATATAGACTACGGGAATAAAGATACTTAGCTCCTTTATAGGGCCAGAGCCACGGAAGGCCGAATTCCTAGCTATAAGAATAGAGGAACTCTAGACGGTGCTAGATAGGCTAAAAGACCTACCAAAACAACACGCACTCCTTCTACTTAGGGCTAGCACCTCTACACTCCTCCGACACCTTCCTAGGACCATGGGATCACAAGGACTCCTAGCAGGATTCCAAGACATTGACATAAGACTCCTAGAAACCATAAAACACCTTTAAGGCTTAGAGGATAGAAGACCACTAGATTAGGACCTAGTAGCCCTCCCTACTAGGCTAGGAGGCCTAGGAATACCTCTCTACGCGGAAGTGGCCGAACTAGCCTTCCAAAACTCATAGGCTATAGCAGACATCACCCTATAGAGGATCCTGCCGCCAAAACTCTTTTGGCGCCTACCCCGAGCACCCTCGCCAGCCCCTAGCAACACTAACATAGAAGGCCACCCCCAGGCTAGCCATAGGCCTACACAAGACTAAGAAGACAACCTACAAGAGGACGGCCTAGAAGAGGACGTAGACGAGGCCATAGAAAAGGGCATACGAGGACTAGATAAACAAACCACTCTAGGAAGCTAAGAGCAAGAATAGGAACAAGAACAGGAATAAGAATAGGAATAGGAACACACCGAGGACCGCGGCAGAAGCAGGAATAGAGCAGACTAACAACCACAACTAAGCCTATCCTACCTCCTAGCCCAGGACACCTAACAACAGCCTAGCTTTCCCCAGAACACTAACAACTAGACCCCACTAGTACTAGCCCTGCTAGAACCATCTACCGAGCTGCAATAGACAAGCTTAATAGAGCTCGACTAGCTAGAGTATAGCAGAAGCTCTCTTTATAGCAAGAGAACGTACGGATCGAGAACTTAGCCTTCCTAGGCCGAAGATGGCTATCTGCAATGCCTACCTCATAGCCCCTTCTACTTGCAGACATGGACGTAGCCGCAGCACTTTCTATCCGACTTCTTACATCCCCCGAAGAAGGCTAGGACATCTATAAGCACTGTAATAGGGCCTATACCTTTGCCCACGAAGACGCCTGCCGTGCTAGGACTAGACAGACGATTGTTAAACATAATAAGGTGTGCCAGGCGTTAACCACAGCCCTACAGACCGACCTATAGAACAAAGTCACTCTAGAACCATAAGGAGACTACCGAGGAATTCGGACAGACATTAGAATCGACAACCCTAAGGGAACCACCTACCTAGATGTGTCCATCATTTCCCTAGGCAAGGAAACCGCTAGGAAGGACCCTAATAGCACCCTGTTAGCCGCGGAAAGGGCTAAGAAACTTAAATACCAAACCCTAGGCCGAGCTTTTAAGCCGTTTATCCTTAGCTAAGGAGGCCTCCTAGGGAAGGAGACCTTACAAACCTATAAGGAATTCCAAAAGTCCCTCAGTCCTAGCACCTTGGAGTGGCTAGATAAGTATATCTCTACTACTCTAGTAAGACTCCGGGCTAGAAACTGGCTAGGATATGGCATAGACTAGATAGACCCCCTTTCCTTTATTACTTTCCTTTATCTTTTTACCCCCTTTCCTCCGTTTTTTTTTTTTTTTATATAGAAAGTAGTTAGACGAGCAAGAATAGCTTAGATAGAAGCATAATAGAGTGTTTGCTAACCCTAACCCTAAGCCTTAGCTAAAAAAGAAGCATACGGCTAAACCTCGGGGATACCGGGCATAATCTAGAAGAGAAAAAATAAAATTCGGTATATTTCGGTAGGTAAAAGACGGAAAAGTAGTACCTTTTAGACTATAGCTTTTCTGCATGTATGGCTATTGCCACTAGGACTAGGTAGTAAATAAATCAATCAATTAATTAATTACTAACTAATATATCTTGCTTATTAAGTAGCGTTAGAATAAATTCTACAAGTCTCTTCTCTCTGTAAGAATAAGTACAACATACTTCGTCCGGCTTTCTTCGTCCTTACAAGGTGTCCAGTGACTGGTTAACCGTTTTCCTGTCTTGCCTGCAGGCCATGTCGGCACCACGCTCTGAGACTTTGCCTCGATTACCACCTCGATGTCCACGCTCACCGCTTTTCCTTGAGCTAGGAAATCTGTTACCGCCTTCTTGTAGGATTTCATGGCAGATGAGGTGGAGGGTGAGCGTTCGGCAAGAACTTTGAAGATGTCTTCGTTCAGGATCCGTTCAGTCGTTCCTTGAGTCCGACTTGGGCGTAACAAATCGCCCGCAGAAGTCGAGTAATGCGCAATACTCAAGCCTGCACGGTCTTTCATCTTGAGCACAACGTNACTATACACACATGTCAGAGAATTGGAATTGCGCGTGTGTGTGTGAGGGTAGAAAGCAACCTTGGAATATGCCGTCTGGAACGTCTGCATCTGTGACTCGAGGCTCAAACCCCCAAGCCATCCGACTAGATCATTCTCCATGCCCGGTCCTTGTCTAACTTCTGTCGGCACGCACGGCATTGACTTGAACATGTAACGATGCCTTTTCAATTGTTCTCTTGGTGATGTGGTAGTGGAGTTTGACGTGTCTGTCACTGCCAATTCGCCGCGGTGTGCCTGGGAAGTTTTTCTGTCATCTAGCTCAAGGATTTTCATCACGTCGGGTTTGCCATGAATAGTTGTCGAACAGTCGATCTGACCACCGAGAAAGAAGACTATGTTTCCTGCCTCATCATAAAGGGGACTGACGTACAAAAGGTTCCAAAACGGAGTGCCGTCCTTGCGATAATTGAGAAGTAGCTGAACGCTCTCCTGGCCATTTTCGATAGCAGACTTCAGATGGATTACGGACGAACGGTCGGTTTTCGCGCCCTGCAGAAAGCGACAATTACGTGGGATGATGTCGCGGCGACTGTAGCCTGTGACATCTATAAAGCCATCGGAAGCATACAGTATTGCATTATCCGCAATCCTGTCTTGTGTTAACATGTGTTAGGGTGTGGGATGAGAAGTGCCCTACTTGGGGTCTGTGAGACAGAAGCAGTCACCAAGTCCTTGATAAGTCTTCCGGTCATGAGCCATTGCCATCGTCGCGCTTGCTGTTAATTGGTGTGTCACGAATCGGGGATAGATATCATCGCGAATCAAGCCCTCTACATGTTTTCGGGCGTTGGCAAATACATCCCGCATTGTAGAGAACGTGACACTAGTAGCAGTGTTGATGGCGGAAGTCAGATCTTTCGAGATTGTCTCCGTTATGTTGACGGGTTCGGTTGCATGAGGAGAGATGTAGGTGGCGTGGATATCGGATAGCAGCTCTTGTGCTTGGGCTAGAAGCAGGCTGTATTGTTCAATNNCTGGGCTTGTGGTTGGCGTCTTTGACAGGTGAATTATACCTCTTCAACATACCTTCTCTAAGAAGACAATGTTCTCGCCACAGGCATGGGATTCGCAGAAAGATCTGAGCCGGACAGCAGTGGTGGGATTACTCAAGACAGCTTGGAAAACATCTGGGGCAAAGAAGTCGGCTATATCGCTGCAAGGCGGTGGGCCCGTCTCCAACACCCCCGTGGTGCTTTGTTCATAGAGATCTGAGTGTGGCGTCTGCATTGCTGAAACTTGGAGTCTGGCAGATGAAGTGATTGTTGTTGTGAAAAGAACTACAAGGATTGTCTCAATAAAGAGGAGTGCGACAAAGGATGACGTTGCGCAACGGTTCGCGGAAGAGACTAGTAGATTCGATATAAACAACGGTCGATCTCGAACGAGATTTAGGGCTTGCAGCGAAATTCCATAACGCCTTCATGGCAAATGCTATATGCAGAAGTGGATGCTAGAGACTTGAGATGGCGTGTGCATCAAACGGGTGATATTGGCGACTGTATGTCGGGCGCTTACTGGTAGGCTGTGCCCAGATGACAGGTGTCACACTGTTAGGACGGTCGCATCATGCACTGGCGGATTCTGTCTTCGGCCTCTCTAACCTTGCTCCTATTCTTATAGACTCTCCCTTGGACCTCTTTGACCTTGCTGCTCTTCTCGTCGACTCCCTTACGAGTGTTGGCGCTGGTTGCCTCGAGCTTCTTGAGCTCTTGCGCGAACGTGTGGAGCGAGAGCATTGCCTGAGATGGGAGAGAGCATCAACAAATATGCACTCGGGTGGGTTTCACAGAGGCATGCAGAGCATGTTGCGACGAGCAACAATAGCGGCCCAGCAGCCAGGCCCCCTGTTATCACAAGGCATTGCGACGGTTCGTCGATTGCAAGAGAAAGCACGACGATCTGGGCTTAATGGCAGATGAAGGAGCCAAGTCGTGTTCAGACGAATGTCAATCATGGTGAAGGCAGTCCTGCTGTGTCCTGGCAGTGTCGTCGAAACAGCCGAGTGCCATGCGGTCTTTTGAAGGAACAAGGGCTGTTCGGGCTGTCGGTGTCAATCTCGATGTTTCCGAGCCCCGGAACCAACATGACGGACGGCTGCAACTGTTTGGTCGTTCCTACTTTTGCATGTTTTGGCGCGTGCCACCTCTGTCTCTGCTTTTGCCTGGTTCCAGCTCCAGAGGTAAGTGCAGCACGAGACCCGTGGTGGTCGAGGCACCACGACACCACGGCAACACGACACCAGCCTTGTGATGCTCGTTTCGCCATGGCCTGTCGCATCGTACTCGATCGCATCGCATCTGACAGCCCAGCAGAACACTGACTGCCGGCGCTTTCCAAGAGGTCCTGGTCTTGTCGACACTTCCATCTTTCGCCCTTCCCTGCTCGTTCCACCCCACACACGCCAGCCCGCCGCCGCTGCCGCTCGCTGTGTCGACCATAGCGCCTGTCGAACATGCGCTGGGTGCTGCAACCGCCGCCCTGATCCAATAACGCACCGCCTTCGATGTCAAGATCTCGCAACGAGCACAGGAACACGGCGACAGCCCAAGGCTTGTGCTTCGCCTTGAAGAGCAGGGCGACAATCTCACCAATGCGAACGCGACGCTCCAGGAATGCATAGGCTCCCTCGAGACCCAACTTGTCCTTCACGCCCCCGAATCCCAGCCCCAGCCCCAATCCCTCGAGCCTTCCGAGCAGCACGTTCTCATGCTCGACCGCAGCGGACAATGAAGACGACAACAGCGTGCAGCTCACCGACACCACTCCGCTCCGGAGTGACGCAGCTCGCCAGACACAATATCCCGACTGAACACCAAACATCATACCTGCCGCCCACGACGAGGCCATGATGCGTCGGCTGGTCGATTGCGCAATCAACGATCTCAGGACCGAGTTCGGCCAGGATCTGACACGGGTCAAGTCTTGACTCGCAACGGCGATCGCAAGCCTCTCACATACCGTCTCAGACGCCGTCATCCGTGCTCTGACTGCCTGATCCATGCCAGCACTCATGTCGCAGGAGTGAGCCTGAGATGGTCATGGAAAGAGGGCCGATAGACGCGCAGGAAATCTTCTTGGGCGTCATCGCTGTCTTCAAGATCTAGGGTGGACTTGTTCAGAGCACCGGCGAGCCTTGATGTGTACGGCATGGCTCTGAGGCTGGAAGTCTCGTTGCTGGCCTAGGCACTCTTCCTCCAGCTGTCTCTTCGCAACGGAATTCCCGACGACTTCGGACATATCGACGACGACCTGGGCGGTCTCTGAATTGTGGCGCGGCAGTAGGATGGCTCCGGATCTCGGTGGTGACTGATGGAAGAGTGTGCTCTGTAGTGAGACGCAGGACGGGGAGCTTGATGTATTTGGGTGAATTGAGGCTGGCTGGTTGGCGCAAGTTGGTGGCTACAAGTAGGATGATGACAGCGAGTCGGTGATTGACAGGAATGGCAGATGAGATCTGAGTGCGACGATGACAGCAAGGCGGTGGAGGGCCTGATTGCCGGCGGGAGGGCGGGCGGCGGGGACGATGATAGCGGCGGCGGACGAAGGAGTCGCAAAAGTGTGTGCGCGACCTTGGACAGTTTCCTGATGGAGACCATCATGATCAGCAGGAGAAGGAAACGCTGGTCGCGTCTCTCATGTCGGCCCATCAAGGTGTTTTTGATTGCGTCATCAATTCTTCTCCGCCAAAAGAAAACTTCTGGGCTTTTTCCAGACCGACTGAGTTGTGACCTTGAGTATAGCATTCACATCATATAATATGAGCATGCAAAAGCGACTTCTCTCGAGCACATCACCTCTGTGCCTTGTTGCGACTTCGCCGTGATAAGATACTATGGTTGTTCCCAGATGTTCGCGTCTTGCTTGGAACGGGGGGAGCCTCAACGTCGTCACCAGCCGCTTCCTCGACATTGTATCGGCAAATCGATCAGATCATTCAATTCTCGTTTGGAAACTATACATCTTCCATGGTGGATCTATCCAGTGACATGCTGCCAATTCTCGTGAGTATATAGAGAGAACAGGTTTCGGCATGGTCTAAGACGAGTTGCATCGTGCGCCTATAGTGTCATCGGGAAAGAGCGGTGCGCAGCTCACCGATCGACCATTGCCTGCTCTGGAAGAATCTGTACTTTTTTTTCTCCCGGACTTGTTAAGAAACAAAGGTCATACGCATGTTGCGCAGCATTATCCACAAATACATGGTGATTAACTAATGCCTCTATATTCTCCCCTTGTCACTCCGGTGGTTGACCAAGCGTCCTCGTCTCGCTGTCTACTGCACCACCCTCCAACGCTGGACATTCGACCCCAAAACTATCTGCTACTGCCATCGACAGGACAGCTGAGGATCTCGCTCCATCTCACTATTACCCAGCACCCTACTGTAAATGAGCAGTGGATCAAGCAGCGATACAATGCCACAACGACTGGGACGGGACCAGTCCGCTTCGCGAGTAGGAAAAATTCAAGAGCCTGGAAAACACATTGCTGTGGTGTGAGGGTAGACAAGTGGTGCACGTATTGGTGGCTTCCACCAGATTCACTTCTGACCTCGAGCTTCTGGAGCCTTCTTGCCCGAGAGATCTTCCTTCCTTCCCCATCTTGCTCTTCCTCTTCTTCTTTCTCTTCTTCCTTTTCTTCCTCCTCCGGGGAGAGTCCGCGTCTTCAGAGGCAAAAGACTCTTAGTCCATTGCTTGCATTTGACTGCGATTATAAGAGTTATCGTAAGTTAATCGCATGTTGAAACAAGCGACTTCTTTAGCGGCATTAGTAGTACCTTCTTCCAACTGGCAGGTTTGCTGATGACAGACTGCGATTGGCGGATGGATTATTTGTCTTTGTTTCGATCATCTAGCTATAATCTATAGAACATACTTGGATCCGATCGACAATCAACAACTGCCGCATCTTGAATCTTGACTTGCCATTCACAAATCTTCGGTGAGCTGGAGTCCACGAGAGACATTCCGTATGCATCTACTCGCTTCAGAGATGATCAGATCTACAGGAGGCAGATTCAATCCTGTGAGCACCTTTTCCTTGAGTAAGCCATCCCGCGTCCACTCAATCGAGTTCAGAGATAGATTGCGCAGATACTGCTGACATATCCATTTCAACTGCCCATCTTTGAGTGGAAACGACGGAGTCAAGGTTTTGTTTGTTAGGAACATGGCGACCAATAGTGCAAGGTTGCTCAGCATGAGCCATGAGCCCTGGGTGATAGCGTGGTTGTAATGGTCCAAAAGAGGTACGAGTCCCATCGGCTCTGCCGGCCGGCCATGCAAACCGTACATCTCAGACATGTCATGACATGTTGGAAATGCGCAGGTCGAATCACCAAAATCTAAAAGAGTTCCGACTCTGGTTCTGTTGCCGAGACAGAAAGGAACCGACCCACAGATACCGTCGACTAGCCCTTGAATACGTGTTACAAGTATTTGAAACTTGCTCTGCTCGTTTGAGCCCGGTTTGCAAAATCCAGCAGTGCATTTGTCGGGCTCAGTGACAAATTTGAACGAGATTAGCGCGAGAGTAAGACGATGACTTCGTGAGTCATTTATCCTCCGAGCCGCCGTAATCGAGGTGTATACATGACAACATCCTTGAAAGATCTGAATCGGCGGACAGGTTTTTGNCGGAGGTGTCCAGCTGAAAGGGCCCCAGAATCTCGATACCAATCCTTGCCACAAGACAATATCCTGATCAAGTTGCTCAACCTCGTCTATAAGCGCTTGAACTGCCGTGCATGATATGCGGGCACCCGAGTCTGCTTGGAGCGCAGAAGCTCGGACTTGCAGATCTGCGACTTGGATGCCCAGAGTGTCTAGATACCTGCTGGGATCCGAAGAGGTGGCATTGATGATCGACCTCCAGTAGCGGACCTCCGGGTGAACCTTGCGCTGTTCGCGAATTGCAGCCGTGATATCAAGATGGATGATGCAACCCACAAACTCGTTAGCGATGGCCGACCAAGTTGAAGGGTGGCCAAACTNCTTGACCAGAGCCAGTGCACCGAGGTGATGGACAATTTTGCTCTTCTTGGAGAACAACAGAGACTCGAAAGCAGAGTGAAATTGTAGCAACAGTGTGGTAAGTAGAGTGAGGTCGGTCCGCCTTGAGTTCGGCTTCTGAAGGTCCTGGGAGAGACTGTTGATAGATTGACCCAAGACTTTTGCAACACTTGTGTTCAGGTTTCTATCCATACGCCATCTCGAGAAGATCGTCAA